CCGTCAGTGGTCTATTTGCATCTATTTTGGCATACTATACGTTAGTTAATTCATCCTCTCTTTTGGCCTTACATGAAAAATAAGAACGCAAAACGGTAGTTTCTTTTGTGCAGGCCTGTTTATGTTTTTCATGCGAGTTGAAAATTCAGGTTTACATTTTTAAACAGAAATCTCCTAACAAAGATTTTTTTAGGATTGGTCACGTATATACACAGGCAGCTTTTCTGGCTTTGCCAATCTTTACATACAGATACAAATTAATATTCCCTTAAAAGGTAGATATTAATGTCACGTGAATAAATCTGTTTAGGCCGGTAACTGAAGCGTTAATTAAGATAATCATTTTATATGCGAGAATAAGTCATATGCCGACTATTTTGAAGGACATTTGTTACTTAGTTCTTTTTATATCCCCACTCCGAAAGGAGTGATATACTGGTTTCCTCCTACCTATCCGTCCGTTCGTAATCTGTACATATTGAGTTTTTGTTAGTTGATTTTGTCAGTTACTGAGCAAGTTGTTTTCCGACATACTTTGTTAAAGTAGGAGAACATGATATCATTTTGATGATGCATAATTGATTTATTTTATTGTATGCTAATATTAAGATTAACTACACATTTCCGTTTTTTGACGGAAGATGTGCATGTAAAATTAACTGATAATATTGCTGTAATTGTGAAATCAGTCATTGCTAATCATCAAACTTTTTTGTCTGGTAAGTCCTTCCTCATTAGTCAACTTTTAGTATAACATTAGGCATTTTTTTGTTTTAACCCTTTTAATGCCAAAGCGACATATATATGTCGTGCAAGGGTTTTACCTATCATATATCGAAATATATCAAAAGATTAATAAATATTCGAAACTATATAGTGTAAAGTTAAGCGCTGTAGATGTACACTACAGCGCTGCAAATGTTAAGTCTACCGCTGTAGATATATAAAAAATATAGCGCTGTAGATATTTAAAAAATATAGCGCTTGAGATGTTAAGTCCAGCGTTGTAGATATAAAGTGAAACGATGTAGAGGTAAGTCGAGCGTTGTAGATATAAAGTGAAGCGATGTAGATGTAAAGTCTAGCGCTGTAGATATAAAGAGAAGCGATGTAGATGTAAAGTCGAGCGCTGTAGATATAAAGTGAAGCGATGTAGATGTAACGTCGACCGCTGTAGATATAAAGAGAAGCGATGTAGATGTAACGTCGAGCGCTGTATGTATATATTGAAGCGATGTAGATGTGAAGTCGTCCACAATTACTCTCTCCGGTGTTCTTTAGATCTACAACGCTGGAGTTTGTATTTACAGCGCTGAACTTTATATCTACAGCGCCTGAATTTACATTTCCAGAACTGAGCCATACATCTCCAGCACTAGATTTTTTAATATATCTACAGTACTAGACTTTACATTTGCAGCGCAGGACTTAACATCTTCAGCACTGTACATAATATCTTCAGCGCTGGTATTTATACCTACAGCGCTAGGCTTAATCTATTCATCTCTATATTTTAAATCTTTAGCGCTGGACTTTTAATATTCAGCGTTAGACTTTACATCTCATGCGCTAGACTTTAAAAATCCTTACTCTTTATCTGATTGAGACCATAAGGGCTTCGTTCTACTATTCAAAAATAAAAAAAAACCTGTCTAGATATAAACTAAAATTTAAACAAGAAAATCTCAATGTCAAACTATTTTCTATGATGTCGGAAAATACACAACTTAACTTACAACAAAGTGTACACAATCCTCAAGATCATTCATAACAAATTGAAATTATATGTTGATAAAGTTGCTATAACAAAGTTGGAAGTTTTAGCAGAGGTCAATGATCCAGGTCAAAACTTTTCATAATTTTACAATCCTCACTGCTTGACCAAACGTCATCAGCTTTTGTCTCGCAAAGAGAATGAACCCTTTTAATTTTCATTGGCCAGAGATCGATAGTCAAGCCTGGGATAAAGGACTGCGAGTTAAAATATAATCAAACTTAACATAGACAACAATATTATTAAAAGGTTGACCTTTCTTATTTTCAAAGTTAAAATCTAATTTTCATGATCAACTTAATAGAGACTACATGGTACATATCATTACCATATGACGAGAGAAGAAAGTCTTTTTTCCCGTTCGGGTTAACTGCTGATGGCGAACAAAAACAAAAGCCATTCAGTTTACTAACATGCAGAGTGCCAGATATAGAAATACACAGCGGCGTCCTGTCGGAATGAGCACATTATTTTCCCTAGTTGGAAACAAATCTCGCTCTTCGAACGAAATAGACCCTTGGTAATAACCTTCGGGGGATCCTTTGTGAGACAAAACGTCTTAGTCTACCCAAACATACCATCTGTTAATATTTCCCGCCCTTCTTCCGTGTTGATCCGATAAAAGAAACGATTCGTTGTCTTGTTCCTGTCATATAATGTTATATGAGGTAAAATCCTTTATCAAATTGAGGTTGACAGAATATTGCTGCATTCATATGTATATATATTTCTACAACTATAGAGCATTTCTACATCTTAATAAATAATGTTGAAAACGACATGCCATGCTTGACGATCAATTGTTTTTCTTCTTCAAAAATTAACATGGAAAATAATAACAAATAATTTTGTACAAGTAACTCTTTAAATTACTTAAAGTGCAAAACAATATATGATCTATATCTTAAACCATTGTGGTTTAAATTTTTCAATTACAACCTGGGGAAATTATTTTAAAAAAAAGATAGCTAATTGAAACATTTTTGAAAATACAGAAAGCAATCTCATTTTGTTGCCGGGTATTTATGTGTATTAAGTATCATTACTATGCAATACTATGCAAAACTTATAGAAACACTGTCAAGATCTAGACTACGATTAATCGCGGAAAATCCTAATTGCAAAATATTTTCTAAGAAGTCACATAATTACAAGTTAACTTACAATCCACCATTTTCTACATCAGAAAATGCATGTACCAAGTCAGGAATATGACAGTTGTTATCCATTCGTTTGATGTGTTTGAGCCTTTGATTTTGCCATTTGATTGTCCGTTTTGAATTTCCTCGGAGTTCGGTATTTTTGTTATTTTACTTTTCACAACAAAGTCTAAAACATTCTGAACGTCGTACAAAAAATATAAACCATAGGTAGACATAGTATCTATTACAACAAAAATCTTTTTCATCGATCGAATATTCCCGTACATATGATTATTTATTGCACCCAGTAACCATTCGATTTGCCATAACCTCGACCAGCAAGAGCAATAGAAACTAACTTTTCTTTCGATCAAGGAAGATATATATCATGCTAACCGATTTAAAAAAAAAACCCAAAATCATAGAATTTACTGTTGAAATAAAAATTAGATTAAAACGCAAATGGTTAGTGTTTCATTTAAAAAAAAAACTAAAACTGCATTACTTGCATGCATGTAACATTGATTTTTTAAATCTTTTAGTCTTAACTTTTCTGTATATTGATAAGACATATGATATTTAAGTAATTAAATATAATGTTCCCGATGGTACTTTGTAATGTATAATGCTTTCCCCGAAATCTATTACTTTTGAAAACATTTTTTTGGGGGACAGACCGGTCTACTCAATGTTGCAAAAAGTTTCGATATTTAAGGAAGAACAGTACTGATGACTTGCCACTGTACATTAGGATCTTGGAGTTATGTTTGTTACTAAAATTCCAACTGACAGTTCGAATTTCACAGTAGGGTCTGAGGGATCATGAAGCAATTTACATGTGTTTTATACGCAAAAGAAACGAATTCCAGCCATGGTGATACATGTACGATGTACGTTAAGAATGTCACGCTTGTCTTAGAGAAATAATAAACCTACTCTATACAAAACACTAATCTCAGGTTTATAGAAAATGTTAAATATGACAAGTTTGATTTCATTATTATACGTTTTCATTATTACTTTTCACCATATTTTTACGTCTGTCTTTTTTTTTTAATCAAGAGTCCTGGAAGAGAGCGTAATAATAATTGAAGGATCTATTTGAAGGGAAACTTTCTACCAATTGCACTACATATAGTTAACGCGGTCAGATTGAACTTTTGATTGAACTTTTGATGCAATCTGAGGGTTATCAATTGTCTCATAACAAAAAATCAGAACAATCATTTGTTTTGGTATGCGTTTCATTTGTGTGTAACATTAGTCATTTAATCATTTCCTCATAGAAAACATTTTAGATACATTCAATTTAAGCTCTGTTACACATAATTTGTCTCGGTTTTTCTGTCGTTTGTTTTAAATTGTATAACAGTATTGTTTTATTCAAGTAAATGCTATTTTCATAATATCGAATTACTGTAAACAATCTAAAATAGGTCTAATAATTCCAAATAGAAACGAATCCACGAAACGAAACAAACCCGGGACTTAATTAAAGTATTGATGCAAAGAAATTAAAATTGTGAAAAACACAAAATTTCAAGGTAATCTTTTAGAAAGGTAGTCAACAAAAAGTAATGAAACAACGAAATGAGAAAAATTTAAGAAAAAAACTTTATTTATTCAAAACATTTCTAAAAACTGTACATTGGTATGTTTTTGATGGAGGATATTAGTTTTATGTTTGTCAGCATAAACCATAGAATGAACCATAAAAGGAAATGTTACCATTTTGAGACTTGTAAACTATTCTTCACATATCATTATAGGCAACAGGCCAAAATATATTGATGGTTCTACGTTATGTCGTTCGATATCTCATTAAATGTTATTTTCAGAAAAAAACTGGTGTGTTCGAAGTTTTCCATGAAAATTAAAGCGTTTCTGAACAATGAAGTTATTATGCTTAGAATGGAGGAACTTAGTAGTAGCAAGACATATTTACGCCATCATGTATATTATTACTTTGGAAAGATGCAGCAAAAGGTAAAAAGAAAGCGAAAGAGAAGTGATTGTTTCTTAGAAAAAGTAAGGACTAAGTGTTTTACGTACATATAAAACGAAATATATGTTTTATATTCCAGAGAGTTTCCGGATGTTAAAAGGTGAAAATAGTAACGGGTATTGATACTTTCATTCCACCACAATAGGAGAAGGTCAACTATAGTTACAGATCCAGAAAGTCTCTTATTTGCTGATGGTGATAGCAGTGGTTTGAATGACGCCGATCGACGGTATACATAATTATTACATATTAATTCTATTAATAAAACAAAATATCCACCTAAAAAGTTAAAGTAAGAACATACAAAAGTCAAAGAAAGACACAGACAATACGATAAAAAATCATATCTAAAGACAGGGCAACAGAACTGACTCCCCCCTCCCCTATAAAATCCATCAAAATAACAATAAAAAACCAAAAAGACGAGGATAAACCCAAGTGCACCTTCAGACAAACGGATATGTTGCATTTGTCGAGTTTTTTTTCCTATAAAACAAAGATGAACTCGGATTCTCCAGAGGCAAATATTGTTTATAGTTCAATATCCACAGTTTAAAAGTGTCCGGTGAGCTTTTCTCCTCACTTGGCATCTGTCGTCGTCATCATCGTGCGTCGTCAGTCGTCAGTCGTCAGTCGTCCGTTGTCGTATGTCACGCCTCAATCGTCCGTCGTCTGTTAACCTTTACAAACTTTTTCTCCTCTGACGCTAGTCGGCTAATTGAACCCGGCAGATTTGGTCACCAGTTTAAAAATGTGTGCGATGATTCCGCTTGCCAACCGTTATGACTAAATATAAAACATATTGGGTAATATGAAAATTTTGCCTATTATCTTGCAAACTTCTATAGATAAAGAAAACCTGACAGGGGCAGAAATGTTTAGAATTGTCAGATCTACAAACTGTCGTTTTACACAACAAAACTTTCAGACAATTTATAAGAGGTATTGCTTTTAAATGACGAATTTTACCTTTTTAAGCTCATCTGGCCCAAAACTGGCCCAAAGGGCCAAGTGAGCTTTTCTTGTCACTTGGCGTCCGTCGTCCGTCGTCGTCCGTCATCGTCTGTTAACTTTTAACAAAACATAGCCACAATCAAAATTGGGGTATCTAGTTAAATTAACGTGTCCGATGACCCCGCTTGCCAACCAAGATGGCCGACAGGCTAAAAATAGAACAAAGGGGTAAAATGCAAGTTTTGTCTATTATTTTGTAAAACCGTTATAAATAAAGAAAATCTGTCAAGGCAGAAAGGTGCAGAATATTCAGCTGTACCAATCGTTGATATACGTCAAAACTGTCAGACGACTCCTTATAGGAGTTATTGCCCTTAAATGACAAATTTTACTTTTTTTTCAATTATGCCTATTATTCTGAAAACTATACTAATAGACAGAGAGAATTTTTAAAATGTAAAAATTATCAGCAAGACAAGTTCTAGAAATAAGTCAAACATGGTTGAAATCGTCAGTCGACTCCTTATTAGAGTTATTGCCTTTTAATGATGATTTTTACCATTTTTTTGCGTTGTTACCTCACATCTAAAAAACTATAATATATAGATAGAATCTTTAAAAGCAAAAATGTCAGCGAGACAAGATCTACAATTAACCCAATATGGAGGAAATCGTGCGCCGACTCCTGATTGGAGTTATTGCCTTTTAATGACGATTTTTGCCAATTTATTTTTGCGTTTTGCTTTATACGATAACAATTATAATAGATAAATAGACACTTTAAACCACAAAAATGATCAGCAATGCAAGATCTATTAACACGTTAAATTTTGCCGATATAGTTAGGAGACTGTTTCATTTTATAGGAGTGATTGCCCTTAAATGAAGATTTTTTTACCCTCTTTTGTGTTTAGAGCAAAAACTAAAGAAGATAAGAGAAACTTAACAGGCTTAATGATCACCAATACAAGATCAACAAAACAGAGATATGTTATAACTTGTACGGTTTGGTAGAATATGTTGTGATATTAAGCTGGCTTTAGTGAAAGTCACCTTATATTTACACATACGTTATTTTGACAGAGTTATACAGCATCTTATCTGTAAATATAATGCTGTTAGTTAAAATAAATATTTATAGTTTTTACCAAACCTTTTATTGTAATATAATTTCAAAACTGCAAATTTATTGATTTCAGCCCAGGAAATGTCTTACAATTTAAACAGCAAGGGCTTATTGCTTATTCAGATTGAATGGTTCTTTCTTCTGATGATCTGGCGATTTTAAATACTAACCGGCCTCTTATGATGAGACTTTAAATGTGACATGTTAGGACTGTTGTTTTTGAATTTTCTCTCCAGCCGCAGTATCTAACCGACAGCTGTAACTGCCATAGATGGCTTCCTGCAGTAGCAGTTACATAGATCTGCAGCCGGTTTGATTAGCCCATGTATATCCCTTCAATTTTATCATAGTGTATATGCTTTCAGGTTTAAATAAACTATGACTTCTGGTTTTCAAATTATGTGCCGTTTTTTATTTTCTTGTTTAGGTTGATTGTCATCCTGTCCGTAGCTGTACTGTGCATTATGTGCTGATGTAGTTTTACGACATACGGTCTATTTCTAGATAGGCAAAGGGTGAGGTTTGTGGGCATGTAGTACTGGTTAAACCCACTTTATTTTGTTTCCTTACCAAGTCAGGTTATCTGGACAGTGCGTATTTTGTTGGTGTCTGGCTGTGTACGTCTTTCTTATCATATGTTCCGAATTTTGGTTGATATGGTGTATTGAACTGTCTATTGTCTTTCTTTCTAATTGTTGGTATGCATTATTGTAGTGTTTGTCACGTTCGTCTTTCACTCAAATGGCTCTATTAACAATAGGAAAGAGAATGGAGATTTTTTTTTATATTTTCTTACGACGAACATTTACATAAAGGTATAAAGCAATTTCAAAATGTTTCCCGTCTTAGTGGAATCTGTTAAGGATGAATATTCTATATTTTAATAAGTGGTTAGTATGTCAAGGTGTATATTATATATGTTTTATTTAAACAAGAGGCCTGCTTGGTTTTTTATGGCCTAGCTAAAAAGGGTGCAGTAATATTCATGAATATCAGATAGGTTAAAAAAATGTTTCAAACGTAAATAATTAAGAAAATCAAGCGTTTTATTGGGCAGTTAGCAATCCAAATTGAATATTCTCCATTGTAGACCAAAACTAATCATAAATATTCCGACCTCAGTATGTTGACCGTAAACTATTGATTGCAGTTTTACACATTATACATCAATATATAAACGCATCAATATTAATAGATTAATCCGCGACCGCTGAGTATTTAATGATAACCCAATATCACTACATATAATTGTAGAGTTACGATTATGGGCACTATACCAATGATAAAAGTCGTTGATTGAATGATTGTTGTCACTTACGTTTAATGAGTATTACATATTTAACGCATAACCAGGACTAATTAGCAGTATTTAAACAAAACATGAAGTAAAATTATAATTTTATTATACAAAATATTTGGGTGAAGGGCAAAACTTTGTGCTACATTATATCTACCTTTCTCAATAGCTAACTGATGAGCACTGATTCTAAATTGAGTTAAGCTTTTTCGATACTGAAATTTATTAACTTGACATAAATATGCTTCTCTTCTGAAGATGTTTTTAAATTTGAAATAAGTACGCAATTTTCCTTTTTTAACATTTGCATTATCTTCTATAGTATTTTTCCAGTAAATCCTATATCTACTAATCAAAATATTTTTAACCTTTTCAATGTCAAAACTTTCCATATCAACATCAATAAATCTTAAAATATATACAATATAAGAATACCAAGATGACTTATTACATTTGTGAGTGTCAATACTTGTGAATAGGGCTTGTTTTAACAAATGATCCTTTTCTAAACCATTAATTCTTTGTAAATATTTAAGAATAGAACAAATAATTTCAAAATGAAATGGAGTACGACCTAACTCTCCCATAACAGCTAAATTACATGACTTTTTACTTACCCCGAGAATGTATTTGTAGAACTTTAAACTTAAGTTCTCGCAATCAAACTTACTAATTTTTTTCTCAATTTCAAAGGGGCTGTTTGTTTGACATTTTGAAAAAATAAAAGTACAAGTTCCCCAAATTTCTGAGCCATATGTTAAAATTGGCTTTATTGTATGGTCAAAGATATGTAAACAACTATCAATTTTTGGGATGTTTTCACCGAAAGTACTTTTTAACTTGAAAAAAGCTTTTAATCCCATTTGAAACAAATCATATCTAGCTGTAGAAAAACTTCCAGAAACAGAAAAAATAACACCTAGATATTTATAATTTCTAACATTCTCAATTGGTTCACCATTAAAATAAAAGTTACTTTTAATCATTTGACCACCTTTGTTAAAAATTACAATTTCTGTTTTCTTAAGATAAAACTAAATACACCAACTTTTACAATATTCTTCGAATTTATTTAAACATCTACTCATCTACTATAATAGGACAGTGACTCAAAAAAGAAAAGAAAAGAGAAACAGCTAGAGATCAGAATTCCGTAAGTGATGATGACCATGCTTGAAAGTCACATGTCAAACTCTTACTGCCGTGTCCTGAATTTAGATAAGAAAAGCGAAAATTCACATTCGCGAGTAAAATTAATATTTATGCATGCACGTGGTATTTTTTGCGCAAGAAATAGTAAATAGAAAGCATACGCACTGTTACTCTAGATAAGAATACGCATTTGCGTCATCACATATATTAATCTAATAGTTGAATTCACATGTCAAACTACCTACCTCAAGTGTTTTGAATCCGGATTCATTGCCATTTAATCCGGAATTTGTGTGAACGCAAACCGATAGTGTGCGTTGAACAGGGTGATTTATAATTTGAATGAACCAAGACATGTAGGATAGCTGGTCAACACAAAGAATGCAATTTTCAAAATCATACAATAGTGCAAAGATTAAGATGCTCTAAGGTTGAACTATTAAAACAAACAAATAAAAAATAATTGAAATTTTATAGTTAACATACATTTATTCCTGTTAATGAATTTTTTCCGATAATTTAGAATATAATATCATTAAACACAAACGTAAAGTTAGTACGGATGAACATTTCATTTATCAAATCAATCTCTTCTTATGGTCTAACATTCCTATATATGAATATACTTATAAATCCTTACTAAAACAGTATAAAATAATTAACATAGTAATTAAATTTTGTGATGATTATTGTAAAATAT